TCTCTCTCTCTCTCTCGTCCGCAGCGTTCGACGCACGGGATACCCGTTTGTCGCGTTGGAGCGGTATTGCTCGCACGGCTAATGAACATCGGCCGAACGCGAGTACCGGTTTTGTACCTATTCGGACCGTTTCCCCTGCGCCAACACCCCAGCAGGCACCCCGCGAACGCCCTGCAGGACGCAAAGGGGTCCGCGCGTTTTTTTTTAAATTTTTTTCCCAAAAAAAAAAAAAAAAGTGCATGAGGTGGTACCCGACAACGGACACTACCACCCCACATTTTCACAAAACCCCTACCCCCCCCCCAAACGTGCGAAAATGCAGTTCGCGGACCCCGTTCATTCGCGTCCAACGCGCGTTTGAACGGGGATTGAATGTGAATTTAACGCGCGTTCAATTTTTCAACGCGAAAACCACGTTGAATTGATTTTTGGACACACAGTGCCCGAGTAATCCTTCGATTTCTTTAGAGCCAACAGGGGCTCATGATTAGTTACGAGGGTGAACTTTCGCCCGTACAGGTAAGCGCGAAAGGGACTGATTCCCTAGAGAGCCGCGTAGCATTCTCCCGTTGGAGCGGTGTAGTTGCGCTTGCAGGCGGGCACTGATTTGGACGCATACTCCACCACACTCTTGAGTCCGCTTGGTCCCACTTGGGCAAGGATCGCCGAAATTGCCTTTGGCTGCCAGTTAGTGATGAGAACAAAAGGTTTTTCGGGATCCGGTCTTTTAAGGACCGGAGCCGAAATGAGAGCAACCTTGAGTTTGGAAAACGCTTGATCGCACTCTGGCGTCCAGATCAATGGTTGATCTTTGAGAAACAGATTTGTGAGGGGTCCCTCAATCGCCGCGAAGCCCTTGATAAATCTTCGGTGGTACGAGGCTAGGCCCAGAAAGGCGCGAGCTTGTGTGATAGTCGTAGAAACCGGCGCATCCCTGACAGTTGCCACCTTCTGCGGCTCCGGTTGGAGTCCCTTGTTTGTCACCACGTGTCCCAAGAAGGAAATGGTGGTAAGAAAAAACTGACACTTCTCAAGCGCCACTTTGAAACCCGCATCTCGTAACACGTGCAGTGCCCATTCGATGTGCTGCACATGTCCCTCGTAGGAACTCGAGTACACCAAGATGTCATCCATGTACACAATCACGCAGTAGTTGATGATGCTTTGCGCCAAACGAGTCTTTCGCACAAAATTTAAGAACCCATGGCGAACATCAAACTTGCTGAGACATCGAGCACTCCCAATCGCATCCAACAACTCTGCAATCCGGGGGAGGGGGTACACATCTTTGATCATGATATCATTCAACTTTCGATAATCAATGCAAATGCGAATCCCTCCGGCCTTTTTAGGCATGATTACTACGGGGAAAGACCAGGAACCTATTGCGGGTTCGATCTATCCATTAGCTTCGAATTCTTTAATCCGCTGAAAAGCGGTCGTGCGTTGAGCTGGCGAGTATCGGTAAGGAGTGCAGCTAATGGGTCGATGGTCTCCCGTGAGTATGGCATTAGTTAAGCAAATGTCATTATCGTGTATGCTCAATACTTCTGTGTAACCATTTAGCACACTGATTAACGATTTCCGAAGTTCCGTGGGGACGTGACCCGGTAGGGTGATTGTTGATTCCCCGGAAATCTTAAGGGGCATATCGACCCAATCAACCGGTCGTTCCCGCCGGTCATGGACACTAGAGAAAACGGAACTACTGGTGCGAACATAGAAGACAGTTGTTATCATCTTGGACTCAGCGGGGCTGATCATCTCCGTTTCTTTAGTTTCAGCATCAGTCTCTGAACCAACCGAGGTTGGTTCCACAGTTAGATCCGTCATTTCTTGCATCAGATCAGGTACATCATTTACCGGTGTTTCCGCCTCCTGTTTAATCAAGGCGATGGTGGCTCCTGTCGTTAGTAACGATCTGGCCGGAAAAAAAGAAACATCCAAATATTGTTCTGTTTGCTGATAACGCATTCGTAAGGAGAGAGCTCCTTCGTAGAAGGTGCGAGGGGGTTCCCAATTATCGGCTAGGTCAGATACTTGTAATATGGGTTCCCCGAGCAGGGCTGAAGGACTAACTTGGGTTATCGGAGGCGCAAGTGCGCTGTCTCTTGAATCCACGTGGAAGCTTCGGGCAGTGTCGGGGCACACTTAGAATTCTTCTGGAATTTTGTGTTCGAAAAGATCGACCAGGTGCTTCCATTCATCTTCGCTAGGCAGCTCTTCTTCGTATTCCTGTTCCCCGATTCCACTATCGATGTCTGAGGAAGAACACTCCTCGGGATAAATGTATCTAATCATCCCTATTTGGTTCGAGTTAGGGGTTCGTTTTATTGCTCGGGTGGAAATTCGCAAGGGAACAGTTTGAGGCTTTCCCCCAGTTTGCGTGAGCACCAATGGTTTCGAATCGAAATGCAGTCGTGCGCCCACCGCCATCGTCCAAGATAGTTCCAACAACACGGAATAGGAACGCACATCTGCTACGAGCGCGTTGACGAGGACGTGCACTCGTCCAACCTTTACAACCACATTCTCTATAATGCCTACGATGTTCATTGCTTCCTCGTCGTCTAAGACATAATTGTCCTTGCCAGATTGAGGAAGAATGGACCCGAGTCGTCCCGTCTTTCTGACAGTGTCTAATGATATGGCTACTACAGAAGACCCTGTGTCGATAAGGGCATTAAACGGCTTGCCCCAAACTTCACAATCACATTCCGCGCTCTTCCACAGTACCGGCCGAGCTCGTACAAAGTGATTTTTTTCTGCTAAAGAGATCGCTGCTATACGCGCGGCCTCAGGTTCGCCGGCTTCGGGTTCGGGTGGTGCAACTTCCTCGCTTCCTTCCTTCTTCTTCAACATTCGCTGTACGCGCTGGAAGGTGAAGTGCTTTTGATTTTTCTGACAATGTTGCAAAAGTTTATCATTCGTCGCTTCAGATATGGTGAGCAGATGTCCCACCGGGATCGGAACACGAATATCCAATTGCTTGATTGCTCGTAGCACATCAATTTCTCCTGTCCAAAACTGCGGACCAGGATTGGATTCGCGATCGACCCATTCGAGATCATAAGGGGCCGATCGGATCGCTCCGACCATGCCTGCAAGATGAAGATATTCGAGTGGGTCGACCACGTTAGCAGCGTCAGAGGAAGAAGCTCCCGATGTCGACGCCGTTGCCGTAGAGGGGGAGAGTTGTTCTGGGGCATATGGTACGAGTTCTCCTCTTTGGGCCGTATCCATCAAAGCGGTCATTCGTCCTTGATTCAGGGCCACAGGGGCCGCCGCAAGTGGGGGCTGACTACGCTTTGGCTGCGGGCAGTCTCGAGCGAAATGTCAGGGCTGTTTGCAGTTAAAACACTCGATCTTTCCTGCTGGATTAGCTGGGTAAGGGAACTGAGGTGCGTACCCTGGTGCAGGCGGGGCAGGCAAGAGTGGAAATGACGCGGGGGCGAGCCGAGCAGGGGCTGGGTTAGGCTTAATTAGCCTTCTTATATCTGTTTCATCCGCTTAATATGAGCGGCCTGCATTTGGATCAAGTTGCTCATCCATTCAGACTGCTTGGTAGTGGCCGTATGGATCATCTGGGCAAGATGTAAGTTGGTTATGGCCGGCGAGGGGGGTTCGGGTGAGCTTTCGCTTTTAACTGTCGCGATGGGTTGATTCACCGGGGAAGAGGAAGACGAAACAGGCGGGATATCGAAAACGATCCCGTCGGGAAGGTCATGGTCGGGGCGGGGATAGAACCGTTCTACTGCTCGCAGCCACGATCGCCTTTTAGCCGCTACATCCCGTATGGTATCTATAATATCCTCGTCTCCCTGACTGATATATTTTTTTGTATCAGCCAGGTCCAGTTCCAATGTTTTAGCGATGATAGCCGATAGCTGGTGTGTCTTCGGCGGGACCTTTTTCTGTAATTTCCCTTTCAACGTCGGACTTCGTAGGTGATCGATGAACAGCTCTCAAGCGAATTTCTCGCCTCGCCCCGATTTGTTCAACGTGGTTTGAAATCGATCGACGAAATCAGGCAATAATTCCCCTGGTCTTTGTGGCCGAGTTTTGAGCACCTACCAGGCGGCACCTTCACTGACCGTATCAAACCGGGCCAAGAAGGCTTGTTTGGAAGTATTCCAATCTACCCACGTATGCTTTCTAAACCAGTCATGTGACATATTGCGGAGTAGCAAGGTAAGAACGCGGGGAAGATCACCCGCGCTGTAGCCTTGAGCTTCGACAACTTCTAACCAAGCCTCAGGATGGGTATGGTTGAGGAAGAAGGGGAAAGGGGTAGAAATGCTGACGATCACTCTAGTACCGTCTGCCATCGGCATGGCGGGTGCAACCGCACCAGATTGAGACCTGGTCACTGGGCGATCTCGACGATCCACTTGAGGACTTCTCCTACCTCTCGCCAATTCGACTCACTATCATCTGAACCGACACGTGTCGGCTCCGATACCAACCTCACGCCCTGCGCTGTCTTTCGTTCGAAGTGCTGGATGTGCGGAAAGAGGCCCAAAAAAACAGCAAAATAGGGTGTGCCAAGGATTTTTGGAAATTGAGTGTGGGGACACAGACGAAACTGAAATCCCCCGTGTTGGTCCGATGAAGTAAGCCGGTTGCTTTCGCGCGTCGCGGAATGCGCGCGCGGGCACGGCGCAAAAAGAGAAAAATCCAAATTCAATCCAAAAAGTCTTGTCGAGCTTCCCACCGCGCTACGGCCCGTCGTTTAGAGCGGAAGGGCTTCGGCACGCTTCGCGTGTCTCATTTTCGTATCAAATCCCGTCGTCGCTCGCTGGTCAGTTCTGAGTCTGATGTAGAGGGCCGCAGATGCGTGACTCTTTTCCTTATGCTCGTCCTCACTCCGTATTCAGTAGTGGAAACCCTTTGCTTCGTAGCGATCGAGACACTGGCACTCTGTGCACAGGGTTCAAGGCCAATGGGGTGCCACTGCCGTCCACGGAATGACGATCAGCTCGTTAAAGGGGAGCAATATTGAGTAGGGTGATACGGGAGGTACGGGAGGCTGATGCCCGATCGAAGGGCGCTTGTCAGTCCACATGTCAATCAATTGCAAAAACTCCGAGACGTCATCAAGGAGGAACACTCGCGCAATTTCCAATCAATCCTTTCCAACACGAGGGGAGAGAGAAAGAAAAGAAAGAAAAAGAAAAAAAACATTCATCAGCTCGATCATGCATGTAACTAAGGGACCGACCCGTGACTCAGGTTACCGTAAACCACCGCGGTGTTGATCCCAGGCGCCTTATTTTTCGAAGCTGCCCTGTAGATCGGTTGCAGATGTCGTGCAGCATAAGGCAGATGGCATGCGCAGTGCATTCGGAACTACAGATCTAAACACTCTTGCATTCTTGGACAAAATCTTGACGACAATCGTCTAATCAACGCAAAAAGACATGTACCTCCATACATACATTCACTGTGGAAGGTGCGAAAATGAGCTATGCACAGGGATAAAAGATGGATCGCTAAATAATACACACGCATCCACCGTTCACAAGACACGAAGACGGGGCTCTTGCATAGGGGGACTACCGAGGAAACTAATGGAAGAGTTCCGGAAGAAGTTATTTCACACAGGAATAGCATGCAGACTCGTTCCTATTAGAGAGAGAGAAAAAGAGATCGAGACTCGACATCATTCAAAGATAGAGGAGAGAGAGAGAGAGAGGAGGGAGGAGTGTCCAGATAGAGGAGGACAAAATCTGAGAAGAGGAAGTTCGGCCTTGCCGTCATACACTCACGCCAGAGATAAAGATCCGCAACATTAAAGGCTCATTCGCCGTGGATTCCAATATGGCCCGAGGCCAATCACTCACTCAACTCCAATCATCGATCCTCATACCCGCACCGACGATCCCGGTCGTCGTGTGCTAACTCCCACCACTGCGATCGTCACCCCGCTGACATAAACTCAACGCAGTTTGCCCAGACCCCACAGTCCGTCGTGGCGATCAAGCGCGCAACCGGCCAGCCTATCGTCAGCCCGACAGGACTTTCCGACTCGCACCAAAGACTCTGCCTAGCCACTGCTTCCCGGAAGCTGGCTTGAGAGTCGAGAACGTAAGAGAGATTTGCGGGTGCGCTTGCAGAATTTATAGCAGCGAGGAGGGGGCCAAGGGAGGGAGAAAAACAGTTACGAGGAGAGAGGAGGAGGAGGGGGAAGGAAAAAGGCGTGAGGGAGAGAGCAATGCGGGGAACAGAGAGGAGAAAGCTTTTGCATTTGTGGCGCCATCAACAAAAAACAAAAGAAAAAGGCATTGAAACAGTTACAGCTCGCCTACGTCCTAAACCAATTCAAAATTGAAATCACCATATCCACGCGCGAAAGAGCGACGCGGGAAAAGAAAGTCCTACGCCTATTCGTATCCTCACAAAATTCAGAGAGTTTTCTCCAACGTGACCGAGAACATTCACGCACAAAAAGGACACGTCGAAGTTCCGCCTATTTGGAATTCCCAACTGCCGGGCCCAATTCCCAGTGCGCTCGCTAAGGTGCGTGTGATTTCCTATGCCGTTCCCGACGTGCAAAAAGAAAAGAAAGCAAAACTGAAGAATCACAAAAAGTGTCCAGAAGGTGGGGGCCAAAAATGCGGCACCCGAAATCAAGAAACGAAACGGGGTTTTTAGGGGGGTTGGTATGATACAAGCAAAAGAAAGGGTACGAAAGATAGCACGGGTTCGGGAAGTAGTTTGTCACATCCCTTCTTGCGCTTGTTCAAGGATCGACGCAGCTCGCAGCACCTTCGTCTCTTCCCATTCCTGCTGTGTCGTTGGTCTCTACCATCCGAGCTGCCAAATTTTGAAAATCCCGAATTTTTCTAATTTTCCCGCCTTCGCTGTTTCTGTTTGCCTCTATTCTTCCTCTCCAATGGCATTCTTTCTTGCGTTTGTACTAAGATCGAAGCTTCTTGCTCCTCTCGCAGTCCCTTCATCTCTCCCCGTTCCCGCTCCGTCATTCGTCTCTCCCATCCCCTCCCGCTCCTTCCTTCGTCTCTCCCATCCGCACTCCCGAATTTTGAAAATTCTGAATTTTTCTAATTTTCCCGCCTTCGATGTTTCTGTTTGCCTATGTTCTTCCTCTCCAATGACATTCTCTCTTGCGTTTGTGCTAAGATCGAAGCTGCTTACTCCTCTCGCAGTCCCTTCGTCTCTCTACGTTCCCGCTCTCGCTTTTGCCTCATCACCCCGCCTGTTCAGTTCCCGGTTCCTCGGATCCCAGCTTCTTCATTTCTCCCTCGGTCGGAGCGATCTTAAGGAGCCTTTTCAACTGTGTTCTTCCCACTGCAAAGTAAGTTTCGCCCCCTCTTTTTTGTTCTGCCCCCAGGTTGGTTGCCGAGGAGGCTCATCTGTCATCACCGTGAATGTGAGCCTTGTCAGCTCGATCCCCTCTCTTTCCTGTCTCGGCTCACACTGGGTCTGTCTTGCGTTCAATTTCTATCGTAGCCGTCTGTGTGATCAGAAGAGAGCAGCCCAAGACTGATCCTACCTGTCGGGCCCGCATTGCTCTTTTCACTACCCTCCTTCTTGCCCAACCGTAACCCCTGGATCTTTGGCACATAGAAGCTGATTACTTCTTTCTGTTGCCAAGCCCCCAGGCCGTTGGTAGTTGCCGTGTAAATTCCTCTTGACACCAAACCCCCCTTCAGGCTCCTCTTTCCCTATCAGGGCCTCAGGTTTCCCGCGCGTGTTCGCCCCCACTTGCAACCACCGCCTGGGTCATTCCCCCCGGGGCCAAGTCCCACTTACGCCGATCCTTGATTTCTGGTCGTTGATCTGCCAAATCTGCGGTCAGAAACTAATCATTCGGGTAAGTGGGACTTGGCCCCCGGCTTGAGAGGAAGTTAGTACAAGGTCAAAGAACCCCCTAAACCCTCAAATCACATACAAAAACCATGCCAAAAAAAAAACAAAAACAATTCAAATTTCCGTTTTGTTCATTAAAGGGGGTTGGTCGGCTGGTAGGCAGCCGCCGGTCCTGCCAGTTCAACAATTGGCAAAAACAGGAGGTACCGGTACCAGTACCGGTCGTTTCCCCAGGGTTGTGGCCTAGGCATCTCGGTCGTGGCCCAGCCATGGGCATGGCCAAGCCATTTTGGCCGTGGCCTAGACACCTCGGGCGTGGCCTAGACATCTCGGTCGTCGCCCAGCCATGGGTGTGGCCAAGGCATCTCGGCCATGGCCCAGCCACGGGTGTGGCCTCGACTCCTCAGCCGTGGCCCAGCCACGGCATGCACACACGTGCACAAAAAAAAAAAAAAAAAAAAAAAAAAAAAAAAAAAAAAAAGAAAAAA